CTCGTGACTTTATTTGATTTAAATGGGATTCGTGGGCGGAGAAAAGCGAGTCTTTGGGTGGGGTAAGTCTGATGTGTTCTCGAATTCTGTGCAATGCGATGAAGTGTCTGTGTGTGTATATGTGAGGTGTAGGCATTCGAATACGAAACGACAAATCGCAGTACACCAGTTTACATGGACGGCTGGCTTATATGGCGAGATTACACACTGGTGAATCGATCGAGCATGTGAACACACGCAAACACACAAACACACGTATAAAAGTTACATGTACCGTAGGAAAGATCAGATTTTCGGTACCAAGTTGGAATATTTTTATCTCCTTTTTCTCTTAATTATAACGGTAAGATGCTTTTGTTTCTGTCTTGTCGTTTTTAAGCGGAATCCGGATTTGAAAGACCGGAGGAAAATTTAGAATATTGCACTCTTGAGTAATAAAACTACATAAGTTATTGTTTAGAAACAGAATGAATGTTTAGAGTAACAAGCTTGGATTAGCCCATTCGATTGTTCAGAGGCACCAGGCACTCTTGATGGTCTTCCGTGTGGGTTTCATTCCTTGGGAGGTCCCTGACAGGGACACAAAACGTACGCACTGCTGACTAGTCCCAAACAGTCCAGTGCTCTTTGTTGGTTATCACAAACATTTCCATCGCATTAGGATGAATGTTTCTTAAGGATATACCCACATCTTTGTTACATACTCTTTGGGAAATATGTGCCGTTTATCATGATTTTGACTATATTTGTGTAAATCTAAAGAACTTGCCGACAGGTCGATGGTTTCTACGTGATGTAAGCTAGTCCGAATCAGACTGGTAGACCGATAGAATCGTCGAAAGTTGATTTATATTATATGGCATATGGAGACAACTAGAGGACCGCCACGTTCCACTTTTGGGGCATCCATCCATTCGTCGACCCTTCCATGACACTTATCCCTTACATGTGGCTCGGCGAAGTCATTTTCCCGTGGATAGGTGAGATGAACATAATCGAGAATGATAAAGATGCTCAAAAATGTTTCAATCAGACATCGATCTACTACCCTGCAGTATGCACTAGGTTTTGCAAAGGCTGGAGGTGTCCGCGAGAATAAAAGAGCTGACTGGTGCTCGAGAGGACATTCTGTATGGAACTCCCGGATATCTGGGGGATGGATTACCTTAAGATAGGTGAACGTGAAGAGGTTAGACGTGTAACTCATTGGTCTACAGAGTCTGACTGGAGAACCTGTACCAACCTAGTCACCAACTGCCTCGCATGGAAGCCCGATATCTGAGTTATCCAGGAAGTCATTTCAATCTCTAACAGCTAACAGCTGTCAAAAGGAAGAAAAATATTTAGTTGAACACTGAATTGTGTGATGCATATCTCTCAGAGTACAAATATAACAATAAAAATCGTTTAAAGGTGAGCTTGTGCTTGTCTAGAGAGATGGGTTCCAAAGCGCGCTTACGGGTTAAAGAAATATATTCAGAACACGTACGGATTATGAAACGGAAGTTTGCCTTCGAACAGAGTAAACCATTGATTGATTATGAATGTATTCAACGGGGTTTGACTTTTTCAAACAATAATGATAACTACACGCTGCTTGAAAGTTAGACGAGTTTTGATTTTATTTACGGCGTTACTTAAAAACATTCACAGTAGTCTTCCTGGCCCAATAATAATACGGAATGAGTTATTCTTTCATCTTTTCCGTGACTTATTTTCAAACATGAGAGTAGTAGAGTATTTGATTCAACTATAGAATGAATTATCTTGCATAAATTGCAGAAATGAGCAGCCAGGAAGCACTGTATTGCTGTCAAAACTTTGTTGAATCATGCATGTTATTCCAGTGACCCAAGTGAGTAATGAAATCCGCAATTCACAAGTAGAACACAGGCTTAACACCTATCCACACCGGATAAACAGATCAGACCGCTCCAATTTGTCCACGCGTATTTCTTATCCATACTTTAAAACTATTAATTCAATCTTAAATGTTTTTAGGATGTATCGACAATATGAAGAATGACAGAGAATTATGCATTGCAAACGTAATTTGCAACTCAGAGAGTAGATTTGAGACGATCAAGTCTCGAAGAATAATTGCGACGATTCTGTATCCGGTGTTGTGGATAAGATGCTTCTAACCTCAACCAACTCGACGCTGGGGCCGATTTTCAGTGTTTGTATCATGAGTAGCATATGAATGACTGGACGAAATCTCCCAGAAGCCTGCGTACCCTGTAATCTGCTGTTTCAAATGGGAATTCGCTATAGCAAATGAAGCGTGAAGTGAAAAGCTCGGAAGCGCTGGACAGCTGTTTCGACCTGGTTGTCTGACCAGCAGTGCAAATCCATCGACCCGACTAGGGATCGAACTCGGGACTTCATGGGCAGAACGCAAGCGTGCTACCCACTACGCCACCGAGCAGCTGATTAGACCGTTTTTGATTTTCCATTTACACTCACATGAAATAATCTGTTTGTCCAGACAGAAGATTACCGGATACGCATACTCGACGGGAGACAATGACCGTGTGCTTCTGGGAGATCTTATCCAGCCATTCATATTCCATATAAGGACAGGTAATGTATGGAGCTAATACAACATTACGAATTGCAGTTTGATTATGAATGAAGCGTGCTACTAAGATTAATCATGTACGTCTCTTACAGCATACTTGCAAAGACCGGTTGGGGAAAAAGTGCAGTAGTCTGATAATCGGCCTGGCAATCTAACCATTCGGAGTACGTTTGTGTTTTGCGTGTACGTGACTCGAGGATTTCATCTGTAGTTTAGTTGATGTCTTCGTCCTTCAGATGATGCCGAGCAAGGTTCAATCTATCTTGACGTACTCTATTCAATGCCTTAATTCAGGATTCCTTCCGTATTTGATGCAGTCTGATTTGAGTAAATGAATCAAATCTAACCCTTTGCTATTACAAATGAACGTGTTCAGTTTTTGTAGATGATATCGTGGCCGGAAATAATATGGCGTATAGACAAAAAAGACAGCCTCATCTCTACAGTGAACTGAGCTACTCTCATCGAGCCGTGGTGGAACGGTTGATCACCGATATGCCCGCGTTTCGTAAGCAAATAGAACATATTGGAGATATTGTTTATTTGATTTCTCCCTCTATATATATATCACTTTATCTATGACTGTGCCTGTAAATATTTGTTTTATCACACTAACTACTTTTATGCTATTTGTTTTACCACATACTGTTACTTTTGGAGCTTCACTAGCAGAGAAATGCTGAAAAAAGGGCAATTTGTGATAATACAAATCCGGTGGACATGCCCACTATCATGTTTGATTAGGACCTTTTGTGAAACCAAAAATATTGGTTTAGTCACTGTCACCGACCCACTTTGGACCCTATGGTCCGAAGCTTGACTCCCACCACAGTCACCTAATTTGATGGTAGGCTGCTTTGCTGTCGTCCGGTTCAATACCATGCCTATCCTAGTGAGGTTTTATGCGGTTCTCAACTGCAAGTCCTGGGGCTTAAGTTGCCGGTTTGCATCACTGTACAGCAGGTCTTTGTGACTATGGGGTCCACGCGGTCTGCTGTCCATCACACAAATGTATGCAACAAAATTGAGCCCCGCGGAATTCGCAACACCGAACCGCAGGGAGTTGCTGACGATAATAGCAGTTGGTTAATTGAGCTAAATCCACTGGAGTCGTAGTGATACCGGTTCGGAGTTGTAATGATATCAAACTAGATACGGTACGACAAAGCGTATGTAATGGTTTACCGGGAGAACAGAGTTTTACGGTGTTATCCAGTAAGGGAAAAAGAAGGGTAATTTGTGAACTGGTGTGCAACGAATGTGCGGAATCCCTAAAATATGTGATCGAAAACATCACCAGGCCCCAGATATAATAATGCAAAAAAAATTATGACGGGAATTGCCACTGCAATGAACCCAGCTCTTAGAAGACCTGAAAATCAGCTTGAGATCTTATCGTGAAATAGTATAAAAATTTCAGATTATGCATAGATCCAGCGAGGTAAAATATAAACGAAAGAGTTCGACCGGAAATAAGAGTTTAAATGCACTCTGCGATGCTAGTTGTAAAATAAGTGTCCCTACTTTCAGAAAAATGAATTAAACTGAATAAACAATAACTAGGTTTCGTGTTCTGCTTCTCCTGGGATTGCATTGCACTAGACAATGGTGGTATACGCGTCAGCTTATCGCATCCAATAACACACAGGCCCAGGGTATCTCAAAAGGAATACAAAATGGAGAAAAACACTTCAAAACTAACAGAGGTCAGATGGTAAACAATACAATTTGGTTTTTAATACATTTTGATAATAACTGCAGATATTTTCCTGAATTATATATATATATTCTTTTCGTAAAAAAGAGAGGTGTATTGAATGATGAGTTGAGCAAATTTTGTTTGAGTCTGGCTCGATGCGTAGCTCCGATCATAATATTTTTCCTTTCCGACCACACTAACTTACAGCTGAAAAGCCGGAATAGTCGTTTTTCCAAATAAGCCAGAAGCTAGAAGCTCAAACAATACGCATGATCTATCCTCCAAAGGAAGAATTTTAGTCTAGCGCCGAACAGTTTGACGAAACAAGGGACAATCGGCCATAACAGCAGGCATCAGTTTGAATGCTCCAACAAGCCACATTATAATTGTTACCCCATACTGCGCCTCCCTTACTCTAAGCGCATTTTCTTTGCTCCCTACTCTGCCTCCAACACCACAGTGGTGTGTCTGTACGCGCAATGCGGAAGACAATTGAACGAGTCGGAAATTATTCGGATGAACCGGTACGAATATGGCCAACTGGCTGAAGGTATGTGGGGTG